TGCCGGTGCCGCGGGCCACGGGCATCCTCGGCCCGCACCCCACCGGCCCTCAGGCGCACTACGCCGCCACCCCATACCAGGCAGGAGGCACCGGCTACGCCGCGGCTCCGTACCAGGCGGGCGGCGCTGGCTATCCGCTGGCGCCCGCTCTGGTCGGCCACCCGCCGCAGGGCGGCTACGTGCCGCCCCCCGCGCCGCTCCAGACCGGGGGCTACTCCCTCCCGTCGGCTCCGTGGGACCCCGCCCTCCTCGCCGCGCTGCACTCGGCACCGTCTCCCTCCAACTACGGAGGCGGCGGTGATTGGTACATGGACACAGGAGCTACCGCCCACATGGCGTCGCACCCCGGTAACCTTGTCTCTTCCTTCCCGGTCACCACTTTGAACCGTATCACCTTCGGTGATGGTTCATCCGTACCCATTACTCATGTTGGTCATAGTTTCTTTCTGTCTAATTCTACGCCTATTAACATGTCTAATGTTCTTGTATCACCTAACCTAGTTAAAAATCTTGTCTCTGTTCGTCGTCTTGCACGTGACAATCCTCTCACCGTTGAATTTGATGGTCTTGGTTTCTCTGTGAAGGACGCGCGTACACGGATGGTGCTCCACCGATGTGACAACCCCGTCGACCTGTATCCGGTGCACTCCACCTCCACCTCCACCGCCACTGCCCCAGTCGCTCTCGCCGCCGGTGTCGACCTTTGGCATGCACGCCTGGGTCATCCCAACTCCACCGTCCTTCGCCAGATTCTCAAGAGTTTTTCATTTTCATGTAATAAATTCGACGAGCACACATGTCATGCTTGTCGTCTCGGCAAACATGTCCATCGACCGTTTAGCGAGTCAAACACTATTTCTTCTTTTCTGTTTCAGTTAATCCATAGTGATGTTTGGACATCTCCTGTTGCGAGCAACACGGGCTTCATATACTATCTTGTCTTACTTGATGATTATTTTCACTTTGCATGGACGTTTCCACTTCATCGCAAGTCCGATGTTCTTCCCACTCTCACGGCTTTTTACTCCTACATCACAACCCAGTTCGGGCGCCCTATTCTCTCCCTTCAAACTGACAATGGAAAAGAGTTTGACAATGCCGCCACGCGTCACCTTCTCGCATCTCACGGCACTACCTTTCGTCTCACATGCCCATACACATCCCAGCAGAACGGCCGTGCCGAGCGGATCCTCCGCACTCTTAACGACTGCGTCCGCACGTTGTTGTTTCACTCCAACGTGCCCCCTCAGTTCTGGCCCGATGCTCTCGCCACCGCCACTCTCCTAGTTAACATTAGACCGTGTCGTCCTCGCTGGAACTTCACCCCACACCAACTTCTCTTCGATTCTCCTCCATCCTATGATGATCTTCGCATCTTCGGATGTTTGTGTTATCCTAGCACCACCGCCACTACACCACACAAACTTGCTCCTTGCTTCGTAGCATGTATCTTCCTAGGCTACCCTCCCAACACCAAAGGTTGCCGGTGCTACGACCCCGTCTCCGACCGTGTGTACACCTCCCGACACGTGTACTTTGATGAGCGCAGTTTTCCCTTTCACCAGGTACCTTCTCCTGCCGAGGACTCGGCGCTTTCGGACATGGACCCGGTGCAGCCCATGGCGCGGCCCCTTCTGGCCCGGCGCGGCTCCTGCAGGCACCTCCCGACGCGGCCGTGGCACGCCCCCCCATGGCAGGTCCTCCTACTGCGGTCCCTGTGGCAGGCCCTCCTGCTGCGGCCCCCGTTGTAGGCCCCTCCGCTGAGGCCCCGGCCATAGGCCCCTCGGCCTCAGTCCCGGTGCAGCCATGCATGGCCCCGGGTGGCCCTTCGGCTTCCACCCCGCTAGGTGACGCGGCCCGCCCCGTCCAGCTCGGCCCCGCTACAACGCCAGGAGCAACGGACCCTCCACCAGCTCCGTCCATACCTCCTGCCGCAGCCGGCCTCCCTCCTGCTGGCATGACGACGCGATCTCGCGCTGGTATCCATCGCCCCAACATGCGTTACGGTGCTGATGAGTACGCCTACGCGGTGTCGACATCATCCTCTCCACCGTCGCCCATCCCCTCGTCCGCACGCGCCGCCCTTCGTGATCCACATTGGCTCGCCGCGATGCGCGAGGAGTTTGATGCGTTGCAGCGCAACCGTACGTGGAATCTTGTGCCGCGACCCCCTCACGCCAATGTCATCAGTGGCAAATGGGTGTTTCGCCACAAGACCAACCCGGACGGGTCACTCGAGCGCTACAAGGCTCGCTGGGTGGTGCGCGGCTTCCGCCAGTGCGCAGGAGTGGACTTCACCGACACCTTCGCCCCGGTCGTTAAACCGGGCACGATTCGTACGGTGCTTCAGCTGGCGGTCTCCCGTGCCTGGCCTGTGCACCAGTTGGATGTCTCCAACGCTTTTCTGCACGACCATCTCACGGCCGGAACGGGTCTTCTGTGAGCAGCCAACCGGCTTCGTCGACGCCGAGCATCCCGACCATGTCTGCCTGCTCTCTCGGTCTCTTTATGGACTGAAGCAGGCCCCCAGGGCGTGGTACCAGTGGATGGCTGGGTTCTTGCAGCATCTTGGGTTTTCCACAACCCGCTCCGACGCGTCATTGTTCGTCTATCATCAGGGCACTGCCACTACCTACCTACTGCTCTATGTGGACGACATTATCCTGACAGCATCCTCGCCTGGGCTTCTTCAGCAGCTCACGGCCCGTCTTCGTGACGAGTTTGCCCTTAAGGACCTGGGAGCGCTGCACTACTTCCTTGGCATTGAGGTTGTTCGACGTGCCGACGGGTTCTTTCTGCACCAGCAGAAGTATGCTCATGAGCTTCTTGAGCGCACGGGTATGCTTAGTTACAAAACCGTGTCCACGCTTGTTGATACTAAGGCAAAGGTTTCTGCCTCGGAGGGCTCTCCCGCTCCGTATGCGGCGTTCTACCGCTCCATCGTCGGCGCTCTGCAGTATCTCACCCTCACTCAGCCTGACTTGCAGTATGCGGTTCAGCACATGTGCCTCCACATGCACTCCCGCGTGATTCCTATTGGACTCTGAAGCGTATTCTTCGGTATATACGCGGCACTATGACCATGGGACTCACCCTGACGGCTTCCTCCTCCATCGACATGGTTGCCTACTCCGATGCTGATTGGGCTGGCTGCCCGGACAAGCGTCGCTCTACGTCCGGCTATTGTGTCTACCTCGGGCCTTCGCTGAT